GAGTGGATCAAAATCCCTCCTGAGATGTGTGCAAACCTGGTGACCAACTACAAAAAACGTCTTACCTCTGTGCTTGCCAACAAGGGTTTATGCACCAAGTACTAAGTCATGTTTTGCTTGGGGATCAAATACTTATTTTAATCACTAAAAAGCAAATCAATTTCTAACCTTTGTATAATGTTTTTTTCTGGATTTTTTGGTTGGTATTCTGTCTCTATTAGATAAAATAAACCTACCGTAAAAATTAAAGACCCTTCATTTCTTTGTAAGTGGACAAACTTACAAAATCAGCACGGGATCAAATAAATATTTTCCCCACTGTGTGTGTGTGTATATATATATATATCATATCCTTTTGAGTGATTATTAATCAAGTTTTTAATCAGTATTCAAATTTCTTATGTTTAAGTTATGAGGTTCCATATACTAGTATTAGACACTAAAATATATCGTTATTGGAATGTTTTTCCTTGTTCATGAGAAGCCTCTCCATATGTTAAACTTCTGTTTACTCCTCTCAGGTTCACGGTGTCTGTGTAGGTAATCAGGGCCTCGTCTACGTGACCAACATGTACTCTGAACATTTAGGTTGTTTTCTATGTCTGTACATGAAAGAATAAAGCTGAATATGGTCTTAGCTTCTCTCCTTTTCTCTCTCTGAGAAACTATACTTATTGTCTGTGTTTTGGGAACAGTACCTGATAAGAGTAGGAGCCTAGCTACTCAGCCTTGAAGTAGATAAGTGTTTCTCTATGTATGTGTGTTGGTATCTGTCTGTGCAGGACCAGTCTCCAGGGGGAGTCATAATGGCACCCAGGGTGGAAGGCTCATCTGGACATCTGTCACCCTGATGCACTGGGTGGCAGATATACGTCTTGGGAGTGAGACATCGTGTGTCATCTAAACAAACCTTCAGAGATATGTTTTGGACTTTATGTACATCCAGGGCCTAAAAACACTCGCCAAGCGCCAAATGCGAGTAAAAATCAGCATTGGCGAGTGTCAGTCGCCAGTTGGCGGGTACAACTTTTACGAATTATACCAATGCAATGAAGTAAAAACAACAGCAGTTTTAAAAGAGATTCGCTGTTTCTGACATAAGCGAATAAAATAATCTTTTCCGAAAACAAGATCATCGTGATTAGCTGTTCTGTCATAAGCGACAAGAGCGAATCAAATAATAGGATACAAACAGGCTGATAAGGTCAGAGCAGTGTGATGGCCAGCTTGTCCCTAGACACGGTTCTAATAACTTTTCCCTGAGAAGATTTTGCTGCTTCATTTCGGAAGATTAACTTTTCCCTTCTTTATTCTTCATGACCCGAGAATGTGGCGACACATGCCTGGGGTTACGCCGAAGAAACAGTGCAGTGAAGTAGGCTATAGTTTGAAAGGTTGCTCGTTCGGCTGTACACAGATGCTGAGCCGCTTCAGACAGCGCACCAGTAGCGCTTCAACGCACGAAAACACACACAATTATGTCAAAATACGCGGTTTTGGTGAGTTACCACATAAACGTAGTCTTAAATGAGTTATAAAGTCTTAAATGACCGTAAAGAGTTGGGAGAAAATCGGATATGTGTCAGATCCGCGTCATATGCATCAGGTTTTAATCAAAGAACAAAAGAAAAAGAGAAATCCTTGGACTGTTCTAGTCGCTGATTAACTTTTATAGCTTGAATAAAGATTAATATGCATAGTTTATGCATATATAATATAGTTTCTGTGAAGATTGTTTTAAAATCACTTAAATTAAAAGTTATATATTTCAGAGCCTATTAAATGTTAAAAATAATGGCTTTCAATTATACTGTAATGTTGAATGGCTATAATTAATAGGTAAAATTGAGGGAAAATGCATCAGCAGGACAAATTAAAAATATTGTAAAAATATTTAGTCATTGTAGTAGTAGGCAAATAACTGCCTGTTTTTGCAAAAAGAGTTTCATGGGCGGTAAAAAATTTTTTTTTTTAACTAACTTTTTGCCATACCTGCCAATGGCCGGTGACATAAAATTTACAGGCCCTTGGCAGGTGTGGCAAAAAGTTAGTTTTAGGCCCTGTGTACATCTATCTGTTAAGATTCTACGTTTTTCCATGATTTAACCAATCAGAATATTTTTTACCGTAGTTCTGTTGGAGTATAACTACTGCTGTATTGAGAATGTACGCAGAGCGGCCTACGAACTCGCGAGTATTGTAGTTGACTTCTGCTGATGAAACTGCAAACTATTTTCTTCAATTCATTGCATCTATGACTCCTGGCCTTAATTCATCTTACCTGGTCCTTGGGTCTTAAACTGTATATCCCCTACACTTGATATGCATCTTGGAATGCAAATTATTTTTATTTTTTTTATTGACAGAAAAATTTGAGACTGAAACATTGCATTGAGATTGTAAGTGACATTTCTATCAAGTTTAATATAACATCCAATTTACATGTCAAATGAAAAACAAGTTTATCCAGTCACTAAGACATTAGAAACAACTCAAAATGGTTTTAGTTTTTTTCAAACAGGAATGCATATACAGATGCCAAATCAAAACACTGGATCAAATACAGTCAACAACATTTGACCAGTTTGAATGCCTTGTAACATATTACTTCTATTGAAATACATACAGCAAAACAAATAACTAAATATTAATATGCAAGACATCTGTGATATATCTATTTTTAATTTAAGCCAGTAAGTTGCATGTTCAGCAGCTACAACAAAGGAAAAAGTGCAATATAATGTAATTCAGCTGGTGTTGAAAGTATACAGGTATTATTTATTCACTTGGACCAGTCCTTAATATTTGGCAACCATTGTATGAAAAACAGCGAGGTCTTTCTTTAGGTATACTCCTTCCAAGTGGTACTCAAAATCTTTACTGGGCATCTTCAATTGTTGTACCCATAATATCGCTTGAGCACATTGCTTGAAAAAGTTTATGTACAGCTCACGGAGCTAATGATAGAGCATTTGTTATGATAAAGCTTTTGCTGGATCTTCAAATGAATTAGTTGTCCTCGTTTACACCACTGCTGGTGTCTGAACAGAAGGTGCTGAGAACATCTCATCTCCTGTTCACCATTTACCAAGGATCTTCTCCCTCTGTTGACGTGTGATACAAGTGAGTAGAATTTTTGCTCCCATGAAATACTTCCCATGGAGACTCTGGGCCTGTTTGGCGATTTCCTCACATTCGAACTGCACGATGGCTTCCCCGACACCATTGCCCTGGCTGTCCACAAGCAATACGATTGCATCTTCACAGATGTTAAAGCGCATGAAAAAGTCTCTCACCTCTTCTTTCCTGACATATGCAGGAAAGTTGCGTGCATATACACATGACATGGTTAAATGTGCGTTTCCATAACGTGGTGGCCTCCAGACTTTAGCACATCTGTTTCTGCTGAGTATAGCAAATATTTCTTCTTTAGTTATGGGTGACACTTCAATGTTCGTTAAGCCAACAGTTGTACCATTCATGTTCAGAGCTGAGACATAGTCTTCTGCATGCTCAAAGGTAATGAACGCAGTGCTTGTCCTCTCTCCCCACTTGTTTAATAAATGTTTAATTCTATAGTTTGGGATTGCATAACATCCAAAAATCGTCTTGATCTCCGTCTTGGTTATATTCCTTGAAAGATTATTGACAATAACACAACGTTCCGTTTGAGGGGATGGAAAGTTTCGGCAGTATTTTTTTGGAGATCCAGACGAGGGCTGTTCCTCTGCACTTCTTTTGGTTGAGAAACCTCTCATTGCATTTCTTTCTGTGTTAACTTCCCTTTGCTCTGAGAAAGTGTGAGGTTTGATGTTTTGCATGCAATTTTTGGATTGCTCGACAGCATCTGTCCACATCTTCTCATGGGCAAGTCTGACCTCAACATTGTATTCTTTGAATTTTCTGTGGCTGTATTTCAGCCCCTCCTCAGCATCTCCAAAACTGGCCAACTTCACCAGACAGCACCAGCCCAGTTGCAATCGAACTTTTGTGATGACCTCCAACACTGAGAGTCCCAGTAGGAACTGGTAGATCTCTTGCTTGGCAACAGAGTCAGGAAATCCATAAAGCCGAAGGTAGCCTGGCTTACAGGAATTTAGGTTTTCTCCTTCGCTTTTCTGCTCCTTAGATGTCATGTCAGGAGTTAGATTATGCTGAGCATCTGTATTTGTTTGGTTGTCAGTTGAGGACCATTTATGTGTTTCTGGAACATTTTGGTTGAAATTTTCAGGCGTTTGGCATTGATCCACTTTGTCGTTTGAAGGCAGTCCTTGAATGGCAGTCATTAGACTAAGCAAAAGAGCTCTGTTGGTGTCAGGTGGGGATGATGGCACTATTTTAGTCTCCACTGCTGTGGACTTTGGTTTCTTTAATCTCGACTCCATTTTTCTCTTGAGCTCAGCCAGACTGCTAATATGTAATGAAACAGAAGAGCCTCTGAGGAGTTTTCCAGAGTAGCGCATGGCAAGTTGGCCTTCTCTCTCTGAATTAAAAATAATGAACGCTTCTCCCATCTGGCCACCGGTGATATGAACACCACCCTCAGGTATGTGCAAGCCATGGAAAAATCTTCGGATGTCTTCAGATCCCGCCTCTGTGTTTAAACCTTGCAAACGCAGAACCACTATTGTCATGGTCAAATTCTTCTTACAAACCAATGGGATCTGTTAAAAAGGCAAAAAGCAAACTTTCAAATCAGTTTCTGAAATTTACGTGTCACAATTTTTTAAAAATCCACTGTACAAACTGCTGTTTTCTCCTTTGTTCAAAACTTTCAGAGGGCAAAAAATCACCTCAGAAAATCCCCTTCTAGCTAAACAATCAATACGAATGCGTCCTCGGAGCCTTACTTACCGTTTGTTTTTCTCTGAAACTTATATCTCAATGTAAATGCTTCTCTGCACAAGACTTTTTTTTGTCAGAGAAACCACGCGGTAACCTGCAACCAGCACTGCTCAGGCGTCCGGCGGGAAACACTCAACTTCCTCTTGCAGAGACTTTTAAGAGCACGCGCACGCTGCACGCGCTCTGAGCGTAAACAGGAATAGGTACGTCATCGAGCGTCATCTGCACCATGGCGACGGTGACGCTGAGAGCATTTGTGTGCAGTTTCTCCATCATATTCCTGTTAAAACCGAACGGGTTTTCCTCCCAGCAGTTTTCTATAACTTTTCAGCAGCCTACGGATTGTGGTGTGGAAAGTTATTTTGATATTTCGAGCTTGTCTTGTGTGAAATGCGGGCCGAATCAAGTCAACAGCAAATCAGGTACGCGTAGTGCGCGCACGGATTAGTTTGCTTTGTTTTGACCAACCTAACCTGAAGATGATTGAAGCTGTACACTGAACAGCAGTCATTTACTGATATATTGTCATATTGGTTAATTGGTTAATTTAACATAGAGTATGCATCTTGCGAGAGAATCAGCTGCACGCTGGCTAATAAAATGTGCTGCATTTGCAGCTGCACATAACGCCATACTAAACAAATACATGTTTAAAATGGATGTCATTATTAAAGATGGAACTTTTATAATATACTTAATTGTAAACCAGCTTGTATGTTTATGTGTATTTCTGCCATATAGGACTGGCATGTGAGTGTCAGGCTGGTTTCAGGGTGCTGGTCAGTAATGGGGCGTCCATCACGTGCCAGCAGTGTCCTGATGCTAATCAGGTTCTGTATTGAATTTGGATTATACATTTAAGCTCTCATATGTTGCTGTATTAATGATATTAAGAATACTAATACTATTATACAATAATGTGATTACTCTCATTCATAGGGGGTCACCCAGGATGGGTATGGATGTATCCGTTGTCCTGGAAGTGTAGGGGATAACGGCAAATGTCAGTGTCCTAAGGGTAGTGTGCTGGGTAAGTGCTTTTAATTTTAGTTGTATATAAATAAACATGATTCAAATGTAGGCTATTTTTTTTCTCTGCAATAATCACTCAAATATGCACCATTTGGGTAATTGGAACAGAATTGTTTGTCTGTATTGATCAGTGGAGAGAGAATGGAATGGGAATCCTTTAAATGAAGCGCAATGTGAGGCGTGTAATGCAACAGAGCCTGCTTTTTCTGCCCCAGATACGACAGGCAACAGGTAATGCTGCCGTTCCCATCAATGCCACTGGATTTGTCATGTTGATCTTTGTGATTCGTTTTGTTTGGATATGTGTATTTTTAGGTGTGTGAGATGTGAGGATTCCTTCATCAACTCATCTCAGTCTTGTGTTTGCGGGACTTCAAACATACAGGTGAGAATCTCAGATATTTGGTGCATTTGTTTACATTTACATTGGTCGGGCAAATGTATATTCCAAACTTTTGACCGGTAGTGTATGTATATGTTTATGTGATGCATTGATAGTGATGATTGCATTGCTCTGTTTACAGGCAGGTGGGATGTGCTTCCCTCCAAACAGTCTGCCTGCGTCAGTTGCCTCAAATGTAATCTTTGGCCAACTGGTGAGAATTCAAAGTTAACATCATGAATTGTATTTGTGTACTTATGTTAGCATGCTGGGGTTTGTTGTTTTAAAGTGGAATGTATTTGTGTTACACAGGCCCTTTCCGTCACATCGTTATGGTTTTCAAGCTTCATGTATTCTTCAGCAGCTGCCTGTTTGGTAAATTTCTACACAAATGCACAAGTCTGTTTTAAATGTTTACATGTCATGTTGTGCTTCAAAACATATTTAAGTTTTGCTCATTTTGTTCTGTAGTTGTTCTCAAACCGGACAGCATGTCAGTCTCTGGGCAACATGTGTGTGATGAACATGCACTCCTCTAGCACCATCAACAATGATGCCTGTGGCCTCTACAACACAGTCTATAGAGCTGCTCAGGGCAGCAGCCAGGACATCTCCTACTGGTAACACACATACAAATACTATATAGTACTTCACTGTTGACTATTGGACCCTTCCCTTTACATAATTTAATTAGCTCAGTGCAGATCTTAAAAGTCTATTTTGCCATAATGATCAGCTGACTGTGCTTTATACCTGTCTTCAGAAGGGCAGCGGGGCCCTAGATTTGAACCCCAGGCTATTTGAAATAACCATAGGAGATAAATTGTATCTGTTATATAATTAAATACAGTGTGACTCATTCAAGATAAATTGCTTCCTGACTGAGAAGAGATGTGGGTAGACCTGATTTGATCTGATATTACATAATATTCTTAGGAAGTGTCTCTGTCTATCTGTAAAGTATTTAAATTCACAACTAATGGCCAGAAGACGCCAGTTTACTTGTATTTGTGACCATCATAGATCCTCAGCCTCATTTTTGACTCTAGGAGAACAAACCTGCCTTGGCTCTACTATGGAGACCAGCTTGGGTTGGCATCACGGATTCTACAGAATGAGCCACTTCCTGTTGGATTCAGCTTTAAAGGGACACAGAAGGTAAACGGTTTGGACATCTCAACATATTGTAAGCAGAAGCATACATGTAGTCATTTTCAGAAACCTTCCTCTCACTTTCAGAACACTAACATCGAGCTGCAAGCTGCAGTTTACTCAGTGCGTGGGGAGTTTCTGAGATGGGAGAGCGTCGGTGGAGGAAACCTCCAGGTAGGCAGGCATGATCAGTTTCTCTTCTGGGGTCAAATTCACAAATTATTCTTAAAGGGGTCATGTGATGCTGCTAAAAAGAACATTATTTTGTGTATTTGGTGTAATGAAATGTGTTTATGCGGTTTAAAGTTAAAAAAACACATTATTTTCCACATACTGTACATTACTGTTTCTCCTCTATTAACATATAGGCTACTGTATTCCTGTGATCAAAGCTGAATTTTCAGCAGCCATTCATTACTCCAGTCTTCAGAGTCACATGATCCTTCAGAAATCATTCTAATATGCTGATTTGCTGCTCAGTAACCATTTCTGATTATTATCAATGTTGTAAACATTTGTGCTGCTTAATATTTTTGAGGAAACTTATTTTTTCACGATTCTCTTATGAATATTTGAAATGGTCCTTTGTGTCAGAGCGCTGGACTTCGTCAGAAATAGAAAGGGACATCAGTTTACTGTCATGGATTTGTGTCGCGTCGCATCCACAGCAGAGAACATCACTGGGTTCTATTTGCTTTTGTCAAATCGCGCCGCTCGCGTCTGGTGTAGACCGTTTTTATACAGTCTATGGTGTAGACGCATTGTTTTGGTATTTTAATCTTAAGTATATTCATAATCTGCTTTACGGTTACCTGGCACTGGAAGTCCTTTCACAAACTTGTAACTTTCATGCTTAGAGCAGAACCATGCATCGTTCATTTATATTTCTACATGGCTGCCTGCAATACAACTCTGATTCTTCAATCGCACCATCTAGTGGTCTGTTATTGATACAACCACAAATGCTACAACTGATAACGGAGCGCTCAAGCGGGTACTGCAAGTTGAGGTAATTAAAATATGTCAAATTAATATTTTGTTCTCAATTATTTACTTATCAGGCAAGTGGCCGCTAGGCATGGGCCGGTATGAGATTTTGACGGTATGATAACCTTAAGCAAAAATATCACGGTATTGTCGTTACAGCTCTAAAATGTGTTATTTTTAAATGACTGGGTAAAAAAAAAAAAACTTTTCCGCTGAACACAATATTTTGTTTTTGAGCAACATACAGAATATTAGGAACAGTAGAATTT